GTGTTTCCGCCACCTGCCTCACAAGCGCAAGGTCCCAAGTTTGATCTCCAGTACCCATCCACCCCCCAAAAAAGTGACAGAGCTGATTCTGCATTGCAGCTAAGAACACTGCTGGAAAGTGTTGGATCTATAAACAGAAAGTTTACAAAAGAGAAAAATAAAGTAATACATGGTTCTTTGAGAAGACTAATAACCTTGAAAATACTAATAAAGAAGAGTAAGAAGATAGGTTATGTGATATCAAGAATGAAAGGGGGGGCCTGGGGATTTAGTTCAGTGTTTCTGTTGCCTGCCTCGCAAGCTCAAGGTCCCCAGTTCAATCCCTGGTACCAAAACAAAAAAGAATGAAAGGGGGACATAACTACACCACAGGGCCAGTTAGTGTCACAACAATCTCACTTTTCTGGTACCAAATCTGTCTTAGTTAGCTTAACTTTCTTAGTTGCTGGGACATCATACCCAACACCTACAACTTAAGGAAGAAGAGGTTTATTCTGGCTCACATTTCAGTCCATAGTCAGCAATGTTCAAGGCAGGACAGCATGGCATTGGGGCATGTCAGAGGACAGAAGCTCACAGCATGGCAGATAGGAAGCAGAGAGCATCAAGGGAGGATTCAGGAAGAGAGATCATGCCCAAGTGACCTGTCTTTTCCAACCACCCACCACTTAAAAGTAAGTCACCTATAAGTCCCCCAAATCCAATCACGTTCCAAAAGCTCCACCTATGCATGTATTAGACTCTTGGGGGATATCTAAACATAAACCATAATAAGAAGTAATCAAGATAATCCAAAAATCTGGTATTTACCAAAGAAACATAATGCATAATTAAAAGCTTTCCACAAAATACACCAAGACAACAATGCTAGTCTGGAATAGTATAATGAATTCTCCCAAATATTTTAAAAGAAATAACGCTATCCAAATTCTCTGAGATCACAGAAAATGAGATCATTTCCAAACTTATTCAATAAGGCCAGAATAATCTCAATACCAAATTATAAGTACACCATGAGAAAATAAAAGGTCAATCTCTCACAAAGACATATGCAGAAATCCTAATCAAATTTCTATCTCCATATGAAAAGATATCATGATCAAATCCAGTTTATTATTATATGCATGGTTTAAAATTTGCAATCACCAGGCATGGTGGTGCATGCCTATAATTCTAGTATTTGGGAGGCTGAGGCAGGAGGATTGCACCAAGTCCAAGGCCAGCCTGAACTACATAGTGAGACTGTCTCAAAAAAAAAAAAAAAAAAAACGAAAAAGAAAAAGAAAATTTGAAATCAATATGTGTAACTCAAATAGTAACAATGTAGGAAAAGACCTATAATCATACACAAACACAAATTTTGATAAAATTCAACATTTTTTATTTTAAAAACTTAGCAAGCTAGATAGGAATAGATTAATCTGTTTTTACCTAGTAAGAGTTAACAATCCTAAAGCATAATTAATGGTAAATTACTGACAATTTTCCTCCCTCATATTAGGGGAAAAAGATGCACTGTACAAAAAGGTCCTAGTAAGTGTGATCAGACAAAAAAAATAAAAGTTTTAAGGATTCAAAATAAATAATTCTTCACAGATAACATAATTGTAAAGGAAATCTTTTAAAAATTTGTTATTTTAATAAGTGAAATTATCAAGGTTACTGGATATAAAAACATCAATTTGTTTCCAGAAAGCAGTAAGAAACATTTGCAATCGCTTAAAAAACATTTAAAAACTCAGGAATAAATCTTGGAAAATGTGAGAGAACTTCCTACAGAAATTATGAAAATCTAACGAAAGCATGGTGGCATATGTTTGCAATCCCAGCTTCTAAGGAAGGATTAGCCTTCTTTAGGAGGCTGAAGCAGAATTGAAAATTTGATGGCAACTTATCAAGATTTTGTATTAAAAAGATAAACTTTTTTTTTTAAAAGGCTGCAAATATAGCTCAGTGCTCTGGGTTCAGTCTCCAGCTTTGCAGAGGGATTAATAAAATACCACGAAGATGTCCATCAGCAAGCATCAACTGACGCTAGCATGGCAATTTATTACAAACCTAATTAAAATCCATGGAAGTTTGTATATGTCAAGTGTCATGTGACAAACTGATCCCAACATTTATTTGGAAATGCAAAGGATCAATGTTAGCTAAGATAATTTTGAAGAAGTCAAAGCTGGAGAATGTGTAGTATTGGAAATAAAAAAGTACACTAATTGAGACAATGTGATGTTGGTACAACTAGACAAACTGGCCAGTGGAACAGACAAAAGAACCTAGGAATAGAAAACACAGACACTTGTTTTATGAAAATTTGATAGTACAGAGAACTGGGAAAAGGAAAATGTTTTCAATAAATGCTGCTGGGTCAAATCATCGAAAGGTGAAAGAGTAAAACTTCTAGAAGATAACATAGAAGAAAAGCTTTATGACCTTGTGTAATGATTTCAACAAGATAAAGACTGTTATGTTAGATATTAGTATCAAAAACTTATCTTCATCAGGATAAAGGCTACAGACTGTGAGTAGATATGTGCAATGCATATATTCAGTAAAGCTCCATAACTGAAATGAGGGCTGGGGATGTAGCTCAGTGCCACCATGCCTGCCTAGTAAGCTCAAGATCCTGAGTTCAATCCCCAGTACCAAAAAAAAAAAAAAAAAAAAAAGTCATGGAAATCAGTAAGTTCAAGACAGGAGGTTCAACAAAACTGACAAAAGGCTTAAGTACAAACTTCACACAAGACAATGGCCAAAGTTCAGTTAAGTAAATAAAGAGATGTTCATCAATAGTCTGCAGGGAAGTGCAAGTTAGAACCAGGAGACATCACTGACATAACTATGAGAATGGCTAAGATTAAAAATACTGACAAAACAAAATGTTGACAGGGATACAGAGCGATGAATTAATAAACTGCTGGTGAGAGCTTAAATTGGTATAACCATTTTGGAAGGTGTTTGGTAATGCCTAATTAAGATATATCTACCTGTATCTGTATCCACATATTCCCATGACCCAGTAATTACACTCCTCATTATATACTAACAGAAATGAATGTGTGTGCATCAAAAGATGTACATGAATGTTCCTGGGAGCAGTATAGCCAAAATTTAGAGATGAAAATTTGTAAGATAAATTGTGAGATTTAGTCACACAAATACAATAAACAGAGCAATGAAACTGAACAAACAGCTGTAAATTCTGGCACAAATAATACACCGTCACCTCCTTCTATCCTCTCCCTGAGGTATCTTCAGCTCTCCATTCAATCCTTACCTCTGGTTCACTCATTAATTTGTTTTGCTACATGTACTCATCCGTAACTCTTTCACGAAATGTGCAGGGTTAAAATGAGTTTAAATGGTTTCTGGGTTTTTGTTTGTTTTTTTTGGTTTGGTCTGGTTTGGTACCAGGGATCAAACTCAGGTCCTTATGCTTGCAAGGCAGGCACTGAGCCACTGAGCTAAATCCCCAGCCCTTGTTTGGTTTTGTTGGTTATGGGAATTGAACCTAGGACTGAGCTATATCCCCAGTACTACCTATTCCTTTTAAAATTTTGAGACAGGGTCCCAATAAACTGTCCAAGCTGGGCTCAAACTTGCAATCCTTCTGCTTCATCCTCCCAGAGTATTAGGATTACAGGCATGTGCCACCATGCCTGGCTGCTTTTTAGCTTTTAAAGGTCATTAAAATTCAAACAAAAGAGGTTCCAATTCCAGTTAACCATGAAAAGTCTAAAACCAATCTCAACAAGATTAATGCTGAGGTCAAATATTCCGGGAGCTCAAACTCTTAAATCCTTTAGGTAAGGGCACATAAACTTCTTCCTACTCTTGTTTTCCTTTCTCTCATTCTTTTTCCCAGCTTTTAAAAATATAAAAAATCATTCTTAGCCTGAGGGCTATAAAAAATAGTCTGAGATCTCAGTTTGTAGAGCCTTCTGAGAAATGTGGCTGTACGTAAAGGCAGCCAGCTGTGGGAGAAAAAGAGACTAGTTCTCAGCACTCCACCTGGTGGTCTGAGTGGATCTAAATGATACAGGCTACAGAGCAACACAATCTGCAAATGTTCACCTGTTCCTTTCTTGGCCAGTGTAGATTCCCAATGGTAATGGGGAAATAACTAGTGGGGAGAACAAGTAGGGTTGGGGGACAGACGGAAGCAACCCAAACCAACAAACTATGAAAGACAACTGAGAGGTCATTAAAGCATAAGCTATAGAGACAGCCTAAACCAGTTCCTATGATCATCATTCTCAGGGTTATCATATAAAGTGAAACGATATAACCAAAGCAGAGTGTACATTACTCAATGAGGACAGGAATTAAGTTAAAGGCAAATGGTGATATACAGAACTTTAAACAATAAAACGGATACGAAAATTGATCAACTTCTCCTGAAACAAATCTTTGCAATGAACTCTGAAAAACAAAACCACCACTGATTATCTGTAAAAGATGACCTGCCAGTTGTTCAAAAAAATAAATTTGGAGGGCCAGGATTTAGCTCAGTGGTTTCACCGCCTGCTGCACAAGTGCAAGGACCTGAGTTCGATCCCTGGTACCAAAAAAAAATTTCAAAAAATAAATTTGGTTGCTTTTTTTTTGTCCAGGGAATTGAACTCAGGGCCTCAAGCTTGCCAGGCAAGTGCTGTGCCGCTGAGCTACATCCATGACCCTAGAAATTCAGTTTTAAGGGGAAAAAAAATTTTTTTTTTCTTTTTTGCATTCTAAAACTGCACAAATCCCAATGTGGATACACTTAATGCAATGCAAATAACAAATGAGATGAGAAGGTTATCCATAAACACTTGCTGCTGTTCAGGAATTGATTACCACTTACTCTTTTAAATGCTGGTACCTTTGGTCTCATCAAGTTTCTCAATCCTTTAACCTGCCTTTTTCTTCTAAAGAAAAGGTGAAACAAGACAAATGCTTACTCAGTCCATCCATTTCCAAAGTGAAAAATACACATTTAAATGAGGGCCACACTGTACACCAACGGTAAAACAAATACTTTTATTGCACATTATAAAATCTGCATAGTTGTATCAGGTGTTTTCCCCTCCCATGTTTCCTCTATTAATCTTTAAATTTTGGTTAAAACATAATTCCCAGTTAGGAGTATTTTTAAAATGGTTTTCTCTCTAAATATACATATATATATATTTTTACAAATCCATATTCCTTATTTTTTAAAAGCAAAAAAAGAATCAAAATGTTCTACTGGGCAAGGAATAGCCTCAGACATCTATTTCTGACAATTTTCAAATAGAGAATTTTGCCTAAATAGTTAATAACTATTAAAATCCCATCTTTAGTCAAGCTGCATAATGCTATTCTTTCCAACGTCCTTAATTGCTTTCCTTTTATTCAGGACTGCGAATGAGGTCTTTTGGCTTATTTAAAAATATAAAAGAGAAGAAAGGAGGTGCAGCTTTCTGACTTTTCAGCATCTCCTGCCATGCAACCTTATGTTCTACCCACGTGTGAAAGGGGGTAGGCTCATCAGCAACCCATTTTTGTCTCCTCTTGTCAAGAGCAAGGCAGGGTTTATATTACTAACTTCTTATAGTTCAGAATTTTAAAATGTCATCTGTACTTGATAAAATAACTAGTAGCTGTTCATCTGGTTCAGGTTCTGATGAATCACTCTTCTATTCTGCTGTCAAAAATATTTATGCCTGAAGAATAATTCAAAAAGTGCTGAGAGGCTTGGAAAAGCCCAAGCATTGTGGTTTCAAGGCATTTCGGCTCTTCAGGCATAATATAATGCCTTAATATATGGGTTCCTGCCTTTCCTAGTGAAATAGCTTTTATAACTCTGTACCTAAAAAGTGCAACTTCATCTTTAATCCTTCTTTAAACATGCAACATGGGTGGGGTGTGGATGTGAATTTTACTTTTCCACTGAATCCCTTTCCCCCAGTGAACACTGTGACAACAGACTGCTGTGCAACAAGTAGGCAACCAGAGAATGCCGTGGGCCTTGAACATGAGGTGCTTATTTCACTGTCACAGTTGAAACACCTTGAATTGACTCCATGACAGCTGCAAATCGGCTACAAAGGTCATAGGGAGAATTAGGTCGAATAGTTGGCGGTTCCTTCAAGACAATGATTTCTGCAGAAGGATCCAGAAGCCTGGGTAGAAACTCCCCTAAGCACAGCTGCAGATTTTCTGTAGAGGCAAAATGAATGGTTACATATACAGTTAAATTGATCTCTATGTAAAACTAGTAAGCCTGAAACTGTATCAGGAGACTTCAATGGCTCATTACTCAACCTCAAAGGTCAAACAAAACATTATGCTGATCAGCTAACTACAAATGATGCATTTATGCCAACCAGCAACAAATAGCTATATGCCAAATACAGCAAAGCTTTAAGTCACTGCTTTAAGCTATCTGGTGCTGGCAGAGTAACACTACATATTCACTTTTTCATGGACATGTCTTCTGATCATTGATCCTTTATTTTAATACTTGAGAAAGCAGATATGATACTCTGTACCATACATATAATAATGCTGTACTCTTTCAAATGCTTAAAATACACCAATGTATACATATGGGATTAAACAAAGCTATAGATCACCCATAGTCTAAATAACTGAAAATATTAAAGGGAAAGATGTAGAAACTACTTATATATAATTTATCAATAAATACTATAAACATGAACACTTGAACAAGTCACTGAAATATCTTTACATGAGTGAGAAAATAAAAAGAAGATTTATAACAGAATATAAGCCAACCTTCCAAATCTGAACTCACATAGAAAACAGCTTTGGGCTCCTACCTCATGATGCTTTGGAAGCAAGTATACTTTACATACTAATTTATTAATCTTGAAGTTGCCATATTTAATAGTATATCTTACAACTTCAAGCCACAGGCAAATTTAGTTAAGGCCATTGGGTAATCATACTTTGCATAAACAGATTTTGGCAGATGAGAGAATAGTTGAAGTCTGGTATTCCTGGAGAGAGCTGATTATTTTCAAACAGAGGTTTCTGGCTATCCATGGAAGCGCTTGCTAGCCTCAGAAGAAGTAAACGGGAGTTAAGACAGAGTCAAGGCTCTCACCCCTTGTTTCCACAGACCCATTTAATTCACTTATCTTCTAGGGACTTCCAATGCCCTAAAATGCTTTGACAACTAGTGCTAAAAAGAAAGACCACTGTAATCTCTAAGACTCATAAAACCTTAGCAATTACTAGAGATGCTAGCAACGTACCTGCAATATCCTGCCCAAGGTAAGAGCACCAATGGTTTCTCATGACTTCAATGGCATCCAGGTCATCCTTGGAGATGTCATTATTAATGATAAGGTGAATGCATGGAATGATCAATTCATTCATCACATTAATGCCCTCCGTTACAGAGTGGTCATCATTTGTTTCAAAGAGTGAAGCTGCTCTGGCATTTAGCTCCTACAGATAAAAGGCAGAATGGGGGGAGAAACTGTCTGAAAGATAAATATCTATTTAATAAGAATCTAAACATATGGATCCCTTATGCTACTGCATACTGGAGTTACCAGGAGGTCTTGAGAAACCACCAATGCCTGGTTTCCATCCCAAATATGCAGATATAATTAGTGTACTGATGACCTGGGGATCAGGATTTATAAAAGCTTGTAAAATTATTTTAATGCAAGTAAGTCTGTACCCACTGGCCTAAACTTACAAGTCAAGACCATGTTTAACATCTGCTTCCAGCAAAAAAACACTGAAAGGTTCTCACTTTCCACTGAGCATCAGAATCTCCTGCACTAAGCTAAGTGCAGTAGCACACATCTGTAATCATAGTACTCTGGGAGGCTAAGGCAGTCTGTCTCAAATTTTTAAAACATAAAATAAGGGCTGGTGATATTCCTCAGTGCAAAGGCCCTCCTGGGTATCCCCAGTACCAGGGACAAAAAAAAATTCTGCATTAGACACAATGATACCCACATTCTTCTCTAGAAAATCTGGTTTAATTCTCTGGGGAGGTGTTTGGATGTAATTACTTTCTGCAAAAGTACTCACTACATGATTCTGAAACACAATGGGGGGTTGAAATCCAGTAATGGAAACACTTAAGTCTCTATTACTGCATTACTGTGGAAGCTGAGCAGGATTTTAAAACGTCAATCTGCATTTGGTGATTTAAAATATAAAAGCATGACTTTAATAAAATGTAGTTCCAACAAATCTATAATGCCTTTTCAGCTTCAAAGTTAGTCCTGCCACATTTTTAATTGATACAAAAAATCAAAGTATAAATCAGGAAATGAGACTATTGAGATAACATATGTCATGACTTAATGTCCTGTGTTAACAAGACCAAGGCAGTGGTAGAATCGATAGCCTGACTTCTGGGATGGGTGAATCTGCAGGGTGACAGGGGAAATAAATACAAGCACACAGCCTGAAGAAGTCATATCTATAGTTCTCTAAAGGATAAGCAGGGTATAAACGCTGGGCAGGCAGTGGATTTAGGTTTGCTTTTCCACCTGCCTATTAAATGCAAAACAGGCCAGGTTAGGCTTAGTCTTCACTACTGTGTGACAACGAGTCAGTAGAAGAGTAGGATCACTACCTTTTTAAAAACTGGAGTCTCTGGGAAACCCTTAAAACTTGCATCTACTAGCTTAGTAGGGAACACTGGAAAAATATCACATTCCTTCAACAGCCATTTATTATATGTTTATTATATGTTTACTATGTGCCAGGCTCAGGAAACCACTAACTAAGAGGATCTGTGCTCAATGAACTCACAATCCAGTAAGAAATATTGTGATCAAAGCTACTGTGCAGGCAAACAGGAATAGCACAGAGAGTGGGATGGGTGACTCTCAACTCTGCTGGGTTAAATAAAAATGATATTCAATTAAGTACTTTTTTTTTTGGTACCAGGAATCAAACTCAGGGCCTTGCACTTGCCAGGCAGGCGCTGCACCACTGAGCCACATCCCCAGTCCCATATTCAATTAAGGTAATGTGAAAAAAACCCAGTGCAATGTAAAACTACTCGTGAAAGTTTGGGGAAAAAAATCTAAAATCTGTTAGGGATAATTATTTTAAATTGTATCTCATGGTTTCAAGGAGCAGAAATACACTTAACATACATACATATAAACAAATCAAAATCTCCAGGCTTTACAAATAGTACAAACCAGAAGGCATTTTCTTCGGTATAAAGCAATCACTGATTCCTTCACCCCCCGGCGGGGCCCCTTCATTAGGAGAGCGGCGTTGCTCTGGTAGGCATATACCAGGTAGGACAATGCTTCTTGATACCTTAGAAAATGGGAAATAAAATGCAGCTGACTTCTCTATTGACAAAATCTGGAGTTTAGACTCCATTGTTCCCTAATATAAAAATCTACTTGGCTGCAATTATAGAAGAGCCTTAAAAATGGAGTCAGCATGGTGTACTGGGAGAAGTCGGAGGGCCAATAGCCCGTCTCAAACTGCCAAGAAACTCAAAGCAAATCAGCAAACTTCTTTGGCCCTCAGTTTTTCCCATCTCTCAAACTAAAAAAAGAGACTAGATGCTCATTGGCGTCCATGCCAACTGGAAAATTCATTTCCCACGTTCATCTTCATTTCTCACAAAAGTATCTGTGCACTGTATCTCTTCACTATTAAACATATCATTCATTATGTTGAAGGATAAAAACAACATGTAATGTTCAGAGCAAAACTGAAGTGAAACGCTGGGAATAACAGAGGCAAACTAGTGTACGTGACAAGGGAGGGCTGTATGGCTGTGACTCCAGTGTCCCTGGGTGGGCATCAGTACCTGTCCTGACCAACAGTCTAAGTGAAATAAAAGGCCAACATACTTTCCTTTTTGATAGAGTTCCAGGCCTGTTAGGAGATACACGGACACCTTTCGAAACAAACTATAATCTTCATGCCACTTCTGAAAAAGAAGGATTATCATTAATGATTTTATCTCAATCAACTAGGGGTGTACCTTCCACCACCGAAGGTTTTAAATTAAGTGTAAGTATTTATTAAGCTCATCTAGCCATGTATAAAAAGATAAAATAAAAAATAAAAATATACAAACTTTTACACAAAAACCTATTCAACACTTAGAATAAAAGTCTACCATTGACCTTATTTTCAAAGTTCTCTACCTTCCACTGAGGAGAAATATTTCACATAAGCTTTAGAATTTATTGTTTCAACATCCATATCAAAGTCATTCAGCCCTTAGTTGATTGGCAGCACACATCTGTAATCCAAGGTACTCGGGAGGCTGAGGCAGAAGTAACCCAAGTTTGAGGCCAGCCTGGGCAATTTGGTAAGACGCTATCTCAAAATAAAATTTTAAAGGTGAGGGGTGTAGCTCTGTGATACAATGCTTGATTAACTTTACTGAGGCTCTAGGTTCAATCCCCAGGATCATTAAACAAAAAATCATTCTAGAACTAGACTGAATGACCTATCAGTACTGACAAGTTCATCCAGAGGAAGATGAGAGGAAAAACCTATGAGTCCACAGAGCAACCTCAAGCTCAGTAAGTGTGGTAAGCACACCTGAGTGGTAGAATGTTTTGTTTTACAACACAATAGCTTTTTAAAAAAAATCTGTAGCTGTATTTTAATACATATTAAAAAACATACCATTTTTGGAAACCAAAAACATGAACTTCAAGAATTTTACTGCCTAGGGCTGGGGATTTAGCTCAGTGGTTCTGCCACCTGCTGCGCAAGCGCAAGGACCCGAGTTCGATCCCTGGTACCAAAAAGAAAAAAAAAGAATTTTACTGCCTAGAACAAGGCTCAAGTAGGTACTTATGGAACATGAAGTACTGTACTGATTCACTCTAACAAAAAGATAGATACAGGGAGACCTGCTATTCTGAGGATAAGAAAATTCATTTATCCAATCTTTCCCAGACTTTCCAAGTCAGTGGTAACATGAATTCTAATTTTGCCTCGAGAATCATTAACCTCCAGAATTAATGTTTTTGCTTTGTAGATTTTAAAAATGGACAAACCAAAAAAATAAATAAATAAACTTTTAAAAGCCAAGAATACTGGTGTATACTTGTAATTCCAGCACTCAGGAGGCTGAGGTAGGAGTAGCACAAATTTGAGCCATGTCTGGGCAACTAAGTAACTTGTCTCAAGAAAGAAAAAAGTTCTGATAACATAGCTCAGTGCAAAGTCCCTGCATTCAATCCCCCGTACCAAGAGTAGGGGAGGCCTCACCTTGTACTCCTCCATATTCATGTCATCTGGACCAATTTCCTTCAGTTTAGCCTGAGCCACCTTCATAATGCTGATTGATCTGAGTAAAACAAAGTTCAGAAGACAATGAAAGGGTGCAGGGCAAATCTTCCCTACCAGAAGAATCATCCAGGCCCGGGGGGAGGGTGGGCCACCTGAGCATTCCCTTCTCACCTTTCATCGTAGCTCAGATTTTTATCTGCAAACTGCTCCAGAAGGGTCCGCTCTATTACTCGTTTGGGTGCTTCATTTTGGAAAAAGTAGACAAGAACATGCTGAAGTCGAGGGTCACTGTGAGAGGTGGGTGTCTCCTCAGCAAGCTGATAGAGTCTGGAGTATTCTTCATGGAATGCCTATGACAGACCTGATAGTTAGTAAAGGATGCACTATGAACTTGTGCACAGGGAAATCAATACCTAAGGGAAGAAAGTCTCCTAACTCTACAATTCCAAAGGATTCTTGAGGAACTACAAAAGCAATTATGGAATCTGAGTTGTTCGTATGTCCTAAAGAATCAAACTCCTCCACAATTCTAGCACTAAAACCACACTATATCCAAAACAATTTTCTCATGAGGTTCATGAAAAAACAAGTAGTTTTTTGGCCAGGCATGGAGCCATATAATCTGTAATCCCAGCACTCTGGAAGGCTGAGGCAGGAAGACTGGAAGTTCGAGCCCAGGCTGGGTAATCTAGCAATTTAGCAAGACTCTGTCTCAAAATTTAAAAATGGCTGGGGATGTACCTCAAGGCAAAGGCACTTTCAATCCTCAGTACTTAGAAAAAATTTCATTTTAATTGTTACACGCATATCCTTGCAGCCAATAACAAGAATTTTTAAAAATCCATGTAAATGGATTCAAGTATCTTAAGTTTTATTCAAATACCTTAAAAAAGCAAAACCTCTTTTCTTGTATTTAGGCCTCCAAAATTATAAACGTGCAATCTTATTAACAGCTTAATTAATTGATGTCTCTTAAGAACAACAAAAGCCCCTGTAGGCTAGGTATAACACAGGATGGTACTGCTAACCAAGGCTGAGGAGGAGCCCAGAATACTGTGGGACAGCTTGTTCATTAGCTGGACAGGAAAGCAGATTTTATGTGTCACTTCAATGAAGGACATTTTGATACCCCTCCATCCCCAGTCTATACATATATATGAATTATTATATATATAATAGAATTATTGCCCCAATATGACATTTGGGCTGTGTAAGGATTAAAATTTTTAAAAGCAGAGATACCTTAATAAGCCCTGCTTCAGACCCATCTCGGTCAAAGGTCTGACGGGCTTTAGCTATGGCCAGGATGACCCCTTGCATGGCAGGGCTCAGCATCACCTACCACAAGAGGGCATAAAACACAGAGAGAAAAAAGAGAAGAAAGGTTCAAAAGAAGACTGTATGAGAGCAAGAACGTGGAAGGGAAGCGGAGCAATGTGCCCCTTGGCCACCAACGATTGCAAGTCAAATTTCACACCCCTACTCCTACGTGCATGCACAGCCTCTGTCCCTCTACACAATGCCAATACCCTGCCCAAGACCAGCTATCCCTATACTATACGTTCTCTCTCATTTAGCAAGATAAAGAAGAATGTATGGCAAAAATATCTCCAATCTGGCACTGCTGAAAAATTAAATTACAGCTCTCAGAAAGGAAGTGTCTGAGGTCAGAATTATAATTTAGTTCTATAACTTTTGGTCTATGACTTAAATATACTCAAGTATTTTAGAGTTTTACTAGGATGAACAGTATACTTAGAACAGTCTGAAAACTGGGAGCTATACAAATGATTCTTTTAAAATCTTTCAAAGATTAAAATTAATACTTCACAGAAAAGAATAAGAGTCTGAAAGAAAGGATTTATAATTGTTCATGTGCAGTACAAATGAAAAGGAGATAATGAATAACAGCATTCTACAGCTTCTTGCTAAAGCTTTAGGATTAAAAGAAAAAACTTTAATCCACATTTATTTTGCTCACTGGACAACTGAAAAATTCCTATTTGGTGGGAAAACAATGGACTAATACCAAAAACAAAGATACCCTTGAAGGCAATCTTTTTGTCCAAAAAGGAACTAAATTCTACCTTTCTGAGGCTCCCTACATATAAGCCTGAATGCATGTGTGTATATATACACATGAGAGCAGCACACAGAACAAAATTATGTTTTTAAAAAATGCTAACTTATTAGCTACTGACAGACACCTTTAAAAAATACATTCAGTCACATGAGCAGAAATGTAAGACTGACTGCACTCATCTCTGTACCTCCTCATCATATCCATCTGCATCAGATCTAACCAGAATCCTTCCCACACTGGGAATCTCGACTTCAGAGACCTCAGAATTAGGCTGGGCAGCAGACTCTGTGTCATTAGGCTTTGGGGGCTGTTCTGACTGCTCTGCACGGTTTGTTTCCTGGGGCCTGGGCTTCTTGGGTTCAGCTTCCTTAAGCTGTGGCAGCAGAATGGGGAGAAAAGGTATGAAAAAAAAGAGGAGAAATAAAAAGGGGTTGGTTAAATGCAGCAGACACAGAATAACAGAAATGTGAGAAATCTGTCAACTACTGCTGAAAGCCAGACCCTCTTGCAAGTAGGCCTCCTAGTCAGCTCACCTCACTCAATGCTGCTTCTACACCACTCTTCTCATAGGCATGGGCAGTATTTGCAATAGCCTGGGCAGTCTGTTCCTTCACAATCACAGCATGCTCAGATGACAAACAGCGAACCCCATGAGAAGAGGCTACTGCAGGCTCTGACAAAGAATCACAAGAAGGCATTAGCATCTGATGATAAATAACGTCCAGGACACATTGATAACAAGCGAGACAGACACACAATTTAATACATAACAATTCTAACACACCTTTCTAAAAAGCCTATGCAAATTTCCCTTAGAAACTAGTGACTCCATGAAATGGCTACTTCAGCAAAACCCCACTGAAGATTCTGGAAAATTTAGTGTGCTCCCAAATTTCTTGTACTGCTTTGTGCCAAGGAAGCTTCCTAAAAACAAACATCTGTTAGGAAGAGCTCCTTTGGAAATATTTAATCCTAGTATAGTACAAGTAGTATTTCTGGTATCACTTATCAGAAATCATACTCTTATTCTATTAGGTTGTGCAAAAACCAACTATAAATGAAACAAATGGTGAAAGCTTATGATAGCACTTATGGTATCACCTCAGTTTACTGAGGAGTACAGGGCTGGCTGAGGAGTACAGCAAAAATGTTACTAGGTCACTGGCATAATGCCCGTTTTAGATACCTTGCGTCGAAGAGAATTCCTGTGATGCTGAGCTTGAAGAGGATTCCATTTGAGGGATTTTGCAAGACTGCTCTTCTTCCCACTCCTCTACTTCCTGTTCAAACCGCCAGTTGTCTTCCTGAATGTAATGTCTGAGTTCAACAGACAGGGCTTCCAGTTCGCCTATCATTTGATCAGACTCATTTGAGGCTGTCTCTGAGGAAAAACAAGACGGAGTTCAACCCAGAAAAAGATCTCTAGGGGCCAGAAAGAATGCAGAATATTTTAACTTTTTTCTTGCCCTAAACAACAACAACAACAACCACCACATACATATCAGAAATAATGGCATTAGGGCCTGGAATTTAGCTCAGTGGTGCCTCTGCCTGCCTCACAAGCGCAAGGTCCTAAATTCAATCCCCAGTACCAAAAAAAGAAAAAAAAAAAGAAGAAAGAATGGCACTAAAAGGCCAGTAAATCTGCAGGGCACATCAGTAACAGTGCCTGGCATACTGGTTAAGTAGGCACTTACTTATCTGTCAAATAAATGAATGATAAGAGAATAAGGGTCTAGAAGCATGGCCAATCACTGCATATATGAAACATTTCTTGGTAATTTAGAAAATCATCAGACCCAATGATAATAGTTTTATCAATTTAACTACTGTATCTATTGACAACATTGAGCTCTATCTCAATATGGTCAGATATGAATTTCAAGCATGTATACTCCCTCAAGTTTCACACAATCAAGTGCTATCAGAAAGCAATATAAAACAGTGGTTAAATAGTCCATTATACCTGCTTATGAAAAGTTATGATAAAAATGGCAAGTGTATCAAGGACATTTTAAATTTCACTTCTAATTCTATGACAAAAAAAGAACTTACAACAGAATAATACGTTCACTTATTTACTAGATGCCATAACTTGAAACTAACCAAGTGACAGCTTTACTTGTTGTTTCTATAATATAAAAATGAATGTGGGCAACAGCAAGATTCCAATGTACTATCACAAGTCATCTGTACATTAATATATAGGCTACACTTCCAGCCCTTTTTTGAGGCAGGGTCTCGTTAAATTGCCCAGGCTGGGACTGAACTTGTGACTCTTCTGCTTTAGTCTCTCAGAGTGCTGAGATTACAGGTGTGTGCCAACATGCCTCACACAAATACACAATTTTGAATATCAGTTATTATTAAATGATCATTCTTTCCATCCCCTATTCTCCAACTGCACCAGCAAGTCAGAAAGATAATGTGCTGCCTAGACAAATGCCTTACATGTTTTGTTATGCAATATGATAAGTTTGAGCCCTACTTATCTTAAATGTAAAATGCTGGTCATAAGACTTTTCACAGAAGTGAACAGAGAGAAAGAATAATGTAAATTTAAGCAGCACAGAATCAGGAGTCAGAAGTTAATTTGAATCTTAGGCCTTGTATTTTTTTACTAGCTGTATGACTCTAGACAACCATGGACCCTCTTAAAGCGTGTTACCAGCTAGAAAATGAGAATAATATGAATTTCTATCATATCTTTCTTTTAGAATTATCAATTATTAGAGAAATAGTTTCAAAGCATGCATTAAGGAATATGGTACCAACATATATTATAATCATCACTGCTCTTGGTATTATTAGAAGTATGAAACTGTTAAGACTAATATACTTTTAAAATTTAGCTCTTCTCCGAGCTGGGGATTTAGCTCAGTGGCACCAGGCCTGCCTTGCAAGCACCAAGTCCTGAGTTTGATCCCCAGTACTGAAGAAAAAAATAAAAAGAAAATTTAGCTCTTCTCCACAGGGTGCAAAAATGTGTGTACAGCTGAGCATGGTGGTGCATGCCTCTAATCCCAGCACTCAGGAGGCTGAGGCAGAAGGACTGCTGCAAGTTCAAGGCCAGCCTGGGCTACATAGTGAGTCCCAGGCCAGCCTAAACTATACAGCAGGACCCTGTCTCAAAAAAAAAAAAACAAAGTGTGTACAAAGATGTCACTAAAAAAAGAGGAAAAAAAATAAAATGTAGAGACAATTTAAAACTCTATCAATGGGAACTGGTCAAATAAGTTACAGTCCATGTGATAGAATTATTACATAGTTTTTAAAAAGAATGAGAAGGGCAGGCATGGTGGCACATACCTATAATCCCAGCACTTGAGAGGCTGAGGCAGGAAGATTGCCATGAGCTCGAGGCCAGCCTGGGCTACCAAGTAAGTTCAAGGCCAGCCTGAATTACAAAGCCAGACTCTCTCTCAAAAAATAAAACAAAACAAAACAACAAAATTCCCCAAAATGTATTTAGAAATAGGAAAACTCATTTTTCCGTTTTATTCCCTTTTATACTGTTCATATTTCTAAAAATGCATTATTACCTAATAATAAATTATACTTTAAATGTTTTCAAAAGAAGTATAAGACTGTCACCCTCCCAGTACAATATACATTTTCCCCAATCTCCGGGTCTATTAGGATATTTTTACCTGCATTAAAGTGGGGCAGCTTGTCATTAATATACATCAGACAGTAGGCACTAACATTTCTCAGGCCCCCGTATGAATCTCTCTCAAGTTCTTCCCAGGAAGATTCAGTAACAGAGATATCATTGTACTTGAGCCAGATCTGCCGGGGTTGATTATAGATATAGGCCCAGTAGTGCCCAGCATTTGCTTGTCCTTCATGAACAAGAACTGCATGTAGATGATAAGGCACCTGCAAATGGAAAGGAAACCACTCAGATTAAGCAAACTAATCTGATAAAGTTTTGGTCATTAAAATTCAACACTGTTTGCAGTTATTACAAAGCGGGAAAATGGCTATGTATATAGTATGTGGTGTTTGATACGGGGTTCACATGAAACATCTTGTTAATTCAAGGTAAACTAACAAAAACTTAGCCTTGGAATTTACTGATTATTTTTCAGCTAACTAGATGACAGCTAAAAACTAACTAGATGACATTTCTGAAGGATCTTTGAACTCCTATGATTACAGATCTAAAACAAAGACAACATACACTTATTTATCTTTCCAACTCAAACAGTTAAGTCTAAAAACATAATAGCCTTGAAAATGTTCACCATATTTGTGACCTATAAACAAGCTCAGCAGCTATCTTATTTTATCCCTATTTTATTTGGTGCCAAAATTTAATTTACCATGCTTCATTATTAATCAGTCACATGCTCCTTATAATTCTTCTTGTGAATGACCATCACCTATCTGGGGTGAAGACCCTTTATATACTTCATTGTTTCAACAATTAAAAAGGAAGTATTTTTTTCTCAATATGGACAAAATAGAGCAATGCTTAAAATGCTAAATAATCACTGGTGAAAAAAAGAAAAGCTAACAGTTATAGAATCAAATTAAACTTATACTCAATCAGTACCTTGACATGTTTCCACTGGTGGTAAAGATTTTTGAAGTAACTCAGAAAAGACAATGGGGAAACCTTAAGATACAAATGGTCCAACACTGCCCTGCAACAAAGCAGTGCCTACTGCTACTGCCAAAGCACAGCTCTGCTCCGGCAGTCACTGTGCCTGTGGCCTATAACACAGAGGCCTCTGAAGGCCATGCCCCAATGCTTTCTGAACGAAAATTTGTGTGGTCAAGAAGAATTCCTATTGCCTAGCTCCTGTTTTGACGGATTAAGTTATTAGAGAAATAAAACTTGAAAGCACGATACTACACCATGGTACTTTGGAAAGGGTGGATAACCAGTTCCTGAGTCAGCCTTCCCCATGGCACTACTTAACATTCCCATTTTGTGAGAAATGTTTATTAATATTTGACAGCAAACCTTTCTACTATATGAAGAAATACCACACAGCAAAATCAAAACAAGGATGTTTTAGAGCCTACTGCAGGTGAACATATGTTGCTATTTTTTACCCAAAATAAAAGAACAATAAAGTCCTTCTTAAGTTTATTTAGAAATCTTATGGTTATTCTTATATCTCAAGGAGATTCTCACTTGGTTACAAAGAAAACTATTATATTTTCTTGTTGTGTCTGCCATTAGCATGTCTTGACTATCTCCCCATCAATTTTTATTCTACCTTACGAAGGAGAGGATCACAGTACATCTGCTCAATAGTCTCAGTGGTGCTTGCAATACAATCCTTTAAGTCTGTCAAAAGAGAACACTTCATTAAAATGATCTCATTCCATGTCACACAGGATACTCCACTAAGCAAAGAGTATTGTTTATCTATACACAGTTCTAATGATTCCAACTTCCCACTATGGACCACAAAACAGTATAGTTTTAAACTTACTAGTGCCTTCAGCTATGAAGACTCTTACTTAATACATTACATTAAGCTTTTTTAAACCATTTTTTATAATCAGCATCAAAATTTCCTTTTGGTCTTTTGAGACAAGGTCTTGCTACGCAGTTCAGGCTGGTTATGAATTTACTATGTAGCTCAGGCTGCCCTCAAATTCATGATGATCCTCCTCCCTCAGCCTCCTGAGTGCTGGGATTATAGGTATGTGCCACCATACCTGGGTAGTACCAAAATTTCTGAAAGAAGCAACTGCTTCCATTTAAGAAAAATTTTAATGCATTGCTTAGGTATACAGTAATATGTCCCAGCAATAGGATCTGAAATGGGACAACAGGCTGGACATGATAGTGCACACACACTCAGAAGGCGGAGGTAGGAGGATCATCATGAGCTTGAGGCCAGCCTGGGCTGCATAGTGAGCTCAAGGACACTATACAGACAGAAAGAAAACAAATACAGAAGGAAAAGAGGGGAGAGGAGGGGAAGGGAGGGGAGGGGAGGGGAGAGGAGAGAACAGAAAAGAAAAGAGAAAGAAAAGAATAGAAGCAGTAAGTCAAGCCTGGTGATGTATGCCTGTAATCCCAGCACTTGAAAGGCTGAGGCAGGAGGATTGCTCCTGAGTATGCAGCCAGCCTGGACTACACAGAGAGTTCAAGGTCAGGCTAGAATATACAGCGAGACCCTGTCTCAAAAAAAACAAAAAGGAAGTGCTGAAGCAACAAAAGTGTGTGTGTGTAGGGGGCCAGATGAGGGGGAAGAAGGAGGAATAGGGGGAAGGGGAAAGGGGGAGGGAGAAAGGAGAAGGGAAAGGAAACAAGTCAGGAAAGTAATGGAAGGGAAGGGAAAGGGAGGAGAAAGGGAAGATAAAGGAAGGAAGACCAATTAATCTCAGTAAAGGTGATCATGAGTGTCTAAGGTTCTACAAATTTCCAAAGAATTTTTGAGAGGGAAACTAGAAGGAATCTTTCCATAGCTGTATGGGTATGAACCATCATACAGTGCATGAAAGGAACAAAAAAGTCACAATTACCAGGCTAAAATTCATGTATGGCAATGTGGAATGTGTACCCAAGATGCCTAGCACCAACCTTGTATATCTTGTTCAATTTCACTTCTCCACCTCTGAAGACAGGTCTTAACAAAGCTCATCTCCTCAGGCGTGACTGTCCGAGGAGCTGGGTGTGCAGGCATTCCCAGGGGAGACCGGGGAGAGGTCAGTGGCCTGTTCATCACCTCAGACTTGTGTAGATGGTCTTCACAAGGGGAAAAGGTACAGTCAACATCCTCAGAAGAGCTTTCTGGACCTGTACTACAGGAAGACAAAAAAACATGCTCATAGAATATTTCCAAAATATATGCTTGCCTAAATTAACACGTTATGGAAAATAAGCTGATACATGAAAAAAGTACAGCTACTATTTAGTATTACCTCTGTAAAGTAATTAAGCCAAAGTTTCTTAGATGAATTATCTCACATATATCTTATACTATAGTATTACTATCCTTATTTTATCAATTATAAGCCTAATGTTTAAAAAATTAAGCAAGTTACTGAAATTTACTCAGGCAGAGGGTGATAGAGAGCAAAGCCCAGATCTGCCCAAGTCTTTGGTTCACATCCTTTCATTGCTAATTACGTCTTCTTGTGAAGGACCAGGAGAAACAGAAAAGGCTGGGATTGGAAGAATGAAAGAATTGACTACAACGATCAGGACATCACTGTCTAAATGAGACTCCATCCAGGAATGAAATACACAGAAGCAAGAAAAAGGAAGTATCAGCTAACATCCAATCCACAAGAATGACAGCAGCGCCCCTTGGGAGAGTCGGAGAGCAGGCTTCACGTCAGGCAATTCCAGCTCTCTCACTCCCGAGCTAAATGCCTAAGGACACAGGGCCAGTCTCAGTAACTTACACTTTCTACAAAATGTACATCTTCAAAATCCTAACCTAATCTTTCTACAAAATCCCATCTATAAGATGTAAATATTAACTTATTTACATCAATGCTGTAAACTAAAAAGAACACAAAGTAAAGAACATAAAAGAAAAAGAGCATGAAGAACATAAAGAAAAAGAACATAAAGTAAATGTTTGTCAGAGTAAAAATGCACGTAGACAAACATGCAGGGATACAAAATAAGTTTCCTATTTTATTTAGGTGTCTGTTTCCCCCCAAAACTAGAGAATGTAAACTTCCTCTGTGACTTAAGAGAAACTCTCATTCCCCTAACGCTCCATTTAGAAAGAAAAGTTAGTTGGCTTTTCTTTAAACATAAAACTCTTGTTTTTCATGAGTACTAGAGTTTACTGGTCAGTACACACACACACACACACACACACACACACACACACTCCCTAACTGTGACCTGAGCTGACCCTCCTGGCTCCTCTAGTCTACGTGACTGTCACACCTGGCTCAGCTGGAATAGAATCAGAAGCCAAGGTGACCTGGCTTCCAATTTCTTTACTAGACAAGCCCCTCTACGTACCCTCTTCAATTTCTCATGTTTTAATTCTGTACTCAAGAATAAGTCTTCCCTTAATGTTTACTTAGCTGTACACACATCAGGGCAAGGGGGCAAAGAAGAGGTCTAGGAAGAGCAGGGCTTGACTTTCCTCTGAGAAAAGTGTTAGTGCAGCTGGCTCAAAGCAAGCAGACAGAGTACAAACACTATTTGAATGGGGAAAAGCCTCTGCACAATCCCCAGCAATGCTAGAGGGAATTACAAACACTGTGACCCGAGTAAGTTGGCAGAATCCTTCCCTTCAGACAAAGAGCTCAGCCGGACATGGTGACACACACCTGTGATTCCAGCACTTTGTAAAGCAAAGGCAGGATAGCAAGTTTGAGTCCAGCCCAGGCAGTTAAGCAACTTATGACACTCTGTCTCAAAATAAAATATTGAGCCAAGCATGGTACTGCACACCTATAATCTTAGCACTCGGGAGGCTAAGGCAGGTGAAGCACCACAAGTTTGAGCCCAGCCTGGGCTACACAGTGAGTTCCAGGTGAGCTGGAACTCAGTAGTGAGACCTTGTCTCAGGAAAAAAAAAAAAAGGCTGAAGATGCAGCTCAGTGTGAAAGCCCTGAGTTCAATAACCAATACCAAAAAAAAGAACTCATGGCCCCATGAATTAAGTGCTAATCAGGAAAAAAGATGATACATCATTCAAATTAAACTGAAAATCAATCTGGTTTTCATTACCTTCTCTTGGATGTCAGGTCAGAAACTGGGCAGTGCACTGAAGAAATTGGCAATGTCACATGTGTGTCACTTTGAGATGGACAGCTTTCTGAGATAGGCTTTGTACTGGCAAATTCAATAACATATTTCAACATGTCTGGGAGTGGGAAACGAGATGGACCAGAGCCATATTTCACATACCTAAAGAGCAAAGACAATGGTAGTCTGTTATGCATTTTAAGATTTGCTAACAAAAGATCTATGGTGTGAAGTCAATGGATAAGTTTATTCTAAAAGCATACAATATTTAATAGGTTACTCAGTCTATAGGGTAAAAATTCTCAAACTATGGAAGTAAAATTTGTGCCTAGGCATGGTGATACATGCCTATAATCTTAGCACTTGGGAGGCTGAAGCAGGAAGACTGCTGCAAGTTCAAGGCCAGCCTGAGCTAAATAGTGAGTTCAAGGCCAGCTTGAAATACACAGTGAGACCCTGTCTCAAAAAAAAGTAAAAATTGATAGCAAGCTAATATTTGGCAGGAAACACTTTAAATAGCTCATAATCATGCCATGCCAGGTATGCTTTCTCTTAGCGTCATGTCATATTTAGGGTTTGGTCGTAAAAATAAACTGTTTCTTAAAGAAAATTATAAATGTTGCTGGAACTCAAATCTGAAAATAATTGTAGTGCAGTAGTACTCAAGGGTTTTTTCTTTGCTGTCTTTCAGACCAACTACTTCAAAACAAAGTCAAAGAAGGATGGAAATGGAAAGCAGGTGCTGATAAAGGTCAGAGTGTAGCATGGTGATGCATGCCTGTGATCCCAGCTACTGGGAGACAGAGGCAGAAACATCACAAGTTCAAAGCTGGTCTGGACAATGTAGTGAGACCTTGTCTCACTGTATCTCCAAAAATAAAATAAGAAGGCCTTGAGGGTATAGCTCATTGGTAGAGTTCCTCTGGGTTCAATCCCCAGTACCACAAATAAAACAAAGAGAATTAGGGCCGGGGATTTAGCTCAGTGGTTTCGCCATCTGCTTGCAGACTCAAGCACAAGGACCGGAGTTCGATCCCTGGTACCAAAAAAAAACAAAACAAAAAGAACTGGCAGATCTTTCTTCTTCAGGGTCCTACAAATACTAATTTGTTTTTTTTGGACAAGTTTGTTTTTTTTTTTTATAGTACAAACACTGTTATTTGGCTACTCATTCAATGGTGTAGAGCAGGCATAAATTACTGAAGGTTTCTGCAGGATGGGTAAATAGTAAATATTGTCAAGTATGTGACCAAAATAATGAATAATATCTTAATAAAATCTAATATTCTGCCAATACTAGCACTTACTTTAGACTCACTAAAGAGATTTAGTTTAACGAATTTTAGAGTTTACTAAAACAGTTTAAATGGTACAATAATCAACCTGACTGGTTCATACAGGTAACCCCATAATTCTGAGATTCCATTTTATATAAGAATAGAGTCATTTCACATTTTTTCTTTTGTTGTTTTTTTTTTTTAAAACAAGGCCTTGCTATGTAGTTCAGGCTGGCCTTGAACTCACTGTGTAAGCCCAGGCTGGCCTTGAATTTGCGGTGATCTTCCTGCCTCAGCCTTCTGAGTGCTGGGATTACAGGTGTGTGCCACCAAGCCCAGCTCCATATTTTTCTTCTCTGAATACAGTGGAAGAAAGAAACAAGTACAAAACTTGGAAGGAAAAAAAAATCACCTGTTTTTATATTAAAAAGGACATCATAAAATAAAAATACTAGTGGAAAATAAAGAACAATGCAACTCAAAGTCAACCACACATTAGAAGGCAGATAACAAGGGAGCCATGTATCCCTTCATCCCCACAAATTTAAAGAAGTAGAATCTGCCTGCTACAGAGGTGCAGCTTTTACTGAAGAGCGTCTCAAACTATGTTCAGACAGAAGAACTATGGAGAACTGTCCTGTTTCTTAGATGTATTTCCTTGCTTTCCCCTCTGCTACTATTGGCTTACTTGAATTTTCTCAGACTTTGTACGCAATACCGCATTGATATCTGTCATAGGACTGCAAGCCATCATTTACAACTGTTACCTCTTCCCATGTTAGTTGCATTTTAATATAACACTTATCTAAAATCTTAGAAAAACTTTTCTTTAAGAAACTTGTCTTCAATTCTATGCTAATTATTTTTGTGTTCAACTGAATTCCTTTAGGCAACCTTCAGGGCCAAGTACTTCATACAATAAAACACCTGTTTTGGTTAGAAGAATCAGAGCTAAAGGTTTTTAAAATGTTGTCTGCACTGTACACGAGAAGTCTTATTTTCAATATTATAGCAAGGTTACCTTAGAGAAGAAATGGTGAAATGTTTTTTCCCGCTAGACAAGATCTCACTATGTATCCAGACTGGTCTTGGACTTACTATGTAGTCCTGGTTAACCTCAAATTCACAATCCACCTGCCTCAGCTTTCTGAGTGCTGGGATTACAAGTGTGCGCCATTTTTATTCTTAAAAGTAATGCATGCGATTGGTAAGAAAATTCAAATACATAAAAGTCACCTACTTCCATCTCAGTTTTACTATCTTATAGGAGCCATTAATAGGTGTTTGTACATTTTCCCAGAAGTGTGTCATAGATACACAACCAGATATATTGCACAACCTTTAAAAAATTAAAAATTAAAATTATCTGAACTTTCAAGTCTATTCTAAAACAAAAGCAGTATTATACAAAAGAAAATGGTCCTACCCTTTTAAAATCTAGAAAAACCAGAATGCTTTTTTGGTTCCTGTTTCCTTCTGAGCTAAAAAACATTACTGGATCTGTACAAATAATTTAAAATTCCAGCCTTACAGAGTTTTACTAAAATCTTTCAAGTATAACACTGCAGTCCTCACAGTCCTGTAAATCACTTCCAGTATAGTATCTGAGGAGACAATCTTCATCTTGAGTCTCTACTCAGACAATGGATGACAGGTCACAATATACATGCAAAAGTTGTTCCTGAGTGAGAGGAAAGGGGGAGAGTGGAGCTTCAGGTGCAGGGTCCACCTGGGCTAGGAATGGGAAGTGTTGGCCCTAAGGGTAACTAATGACCTAGCAATAGAGTAGGCAGAGGAGGGATGGTGGTAGAAAGGAAACTGTTAAGTACACGATGGGGAAAAAAAGCCACTGACAGTACATGAGATTTCCTTCATAAATGCTGAGTCAGTGGGATCCATCTAGACAATAAACAAATCACACTGTCTCCTGAGGAAATCAGGGTGATTGCATAGAAACAATATAAAAGGAACAAAAAAAGGCAAAGATTCCTCTATGAGAGAAAGGATTTTGTATAGGTCAGAAAACTTAGCCCTTTTAACCAGCACCATTCTAGGCAGAGTAGCATTATTTTTACTTTTTCTGGACACTTTAGAAACTGCTTTTCCAAGACATATAAAATGGAGCACTGTCACAGTTTTCTCTCTCATGTTTATGAAGAAGACAGCAAGGTCAATCGGAACAATGAAAAGCTATACATATTAGCTGGTCTTGAAGGTTACCTCACAATTAGAAAAAAGATTTTCATAGCTACTTCATAGAGTACCCTTGTTATTAAACTCTAAATATAAACAAACTACCTGATCTTAATATTCTGTTTATCTTTTACATTTCTAAGCACAAGTGTCCACGAACTCACCTTTCCAATTTTTGCTGAAGAACTTGTATTTCCTCCTTCAACTTTCGAATACTCTCTCTCTTATTTCGAACAAGCTCCTTGCTCCTGTACATGTATCTAAGCAAATGATAATCACATAAACACATTTATATTTAAAAACGTTAATGATAGAGAATTTCAGCAAAGGAGAGATATAAGGAAACTACCTTAATTAGGGAAAGAGCATCTATGAAAAACCCAGATAGTATTGTACTGAATAGTGCAATACTGATGGACTCCTCTAAGATTGGGGAGAAGGCAAGGATGACCAACTTCCCCTACTTTTATTTAATATTTTACTGAAGGCACAGCCAGGACAATAAAGAAACAGAAATAAAAGGTATGGAGACAGCAAAGGAAGAAGAAAAGCTGCCTTTTAGATGTAGATGACATGACTATGTAGAAAACCTTCAGAGAGAATAAGTGAATGAGTAATAAAGCTGAGGGATGCTATGCCATCCTAAAGGGAAAATATCAGTTGCATTTCAATGTATTATAAAGAACAAATGGACAGTGACTTTTTTTTCAGTATGGGCACTGAATTTGCGATCTTCCTGCCTCAACCTCCCGGAATGCTAGGATTACAGGTGTGCGCCATGACACCCAGCTGGACAATGATGTAAAGCATGATTTCTTTAAGGATAAATTTAATCAAACATGTGCAATATTTGTACACCAAATATTGCAAAGAACTGTTGACAAATCAATGACTTGAAAAAACAGCCATATCATGTTCATGGACTGAAGGGTTCAATATTATTAAGATGTCATTTCTCCCTAAATTGATCTATAGGTGGAACACAATTCAAATAAAAATCCCAATCGTCATTTAGTAGAAACCAACAAGTTGAAAAAATTTATATAGAAATGCAAAGAGCCAGGATCAAACAAAACAATTTTGATACTACCTGATATTAAGACATAAAATAAAGCCACTGTAATCAAGGCAATATGGTACAAGCGTAAGATTAGACCAGAGACAAAACAGACTTCAAAAATAGGCACACAAATATATTTTCAATTAATTTTTGACAAAAGTGTTAAGGTAAATCAAAGGGAGAAAGGGCAGTTTTTTCAACTATGATGCCTTTACTACAACTGGACATGCCTCCCTCTCTGCTCTAAAACCCTTCATCTCATACCATGTATGAAATCTAAATGGGCCAGAGACCTAATGTAAGACAAGTAGTTAGAAAGTGGACACAATGTGAACTGACACTTTGCCCAAGAAAACATACAAATAACTCTCAATTAAGCATACAAAACGATGCTCAACATCATTCGTGTTCAGGAAAATGTAAATCCAAAGAAAAATACAGTATTTCTCCATACCCACTTAGAATGGCTAGAATTAAAGACTTATAATTCAAAGCACTGACAAGGATTTGGAGCAAATGGAGCTCTCATATTCTACTGATGGCAATGCAAAACTATACAGCCACTTTAGAAAACAGTACAAAACTATGCTGTCAAGGGCAATATCCATTTTTCTTTTTCTTTTTTTTTTAATTTTTATTTTTTAAATTTTTTTTTAAATATACATTTTTCATGCAACACAGCAATCTCACCTTTCTGTACTTTACACTAGAGAAACGTATGTGAATGTTCATGGTAGCTTTATAGATAATGGTCCCCAAATGGATGTATCTAAACTATCTACCAACTAGAGAATGAGAAAAATATCATGGCATGTATATACAAAAGAATATTCAACAGGGCCTAGGGGTATAGCTATAGCAGTAGAGGGAATTCTCAGTACATACAAGGCCCTGGGTTAAATCCCCACCACCAAAAATCAAAACAAAACAAAACGAAAAAAGCATACTACTCCACAATAAAGTGGAATAAACTACTGATATATGGACAACATAAGTGAATACCAAAAATACTATCCTAAGGAATGAACATAGCCATAACAGGGTACATATTAATGTCACTAATACAACATTCTAGAATGACAAAAGTACAGTGGGGTCAGAATGTTATTCAGTGGATCCCAGAGCCTGGAGATGGGAGAAAGAGATTGACTACAGAGGGCCTAAGAGAATCTTCTGGGTGATGGAAAGGTGCTCTATCGAAGCTGGGATGCTGGTTGCTTGACTTTCTCTACATTGGCAAAATTCATTGTTTATCCAGCTAAAAGTGGTGGCCTTCTTTAATATGTAAACTATACCTCAGTAAACGAGACTCTAAAAAGATTAAAATATTGTAAAGTGAGTCTCTCTAGGACTGCCCCCACTCCAAGAATATTGATAGTATTCAGAATAGAAAGAACTACACTGTAGCTATTCCACATACTATTTTTTACCCCCAAAGAAACAAGGCTTTCACCTAAAACCCCAGCTATTCAAATTGCAGTCAGAGATCAGAAACATCAACAGCATTACCCTAGGTACAGTGGTGGCAATCTTTGGCACATGTGCTGCAATGAGCAGACAGAGCCCTCTCTGTCCGCACACAAGCCAACTCACCCCAGTATTCTCCCAGCAGCGACCATTCAGGTTTAATTGCAGTGTTGGCACTTTGCGATAAATAAGTGGGTTATGGGTTGCAGTTTGGGCACTCACTGCCCTAGGAGTTTCACAGAAATGCAAATTTTTGTTTGTTTGTTGAGACAGGGTCTTGCTATGTAGTTCAGACTGTCCTTGAACTCACTATGGAGTCCAGGCTGTCCTCGAACTCCAGAGATTTTCCCGCCTCGGGCTCCTGACTGCTAGGATTATAGGCGTATGCCACCATGCTCAGCTCAACAAACTCTTGGGTCCCAACCAAAGTCTACTGAGTCCAAATTTCTATATTATCAAGACCTCAAAGTGATTCCTATGCACAATATACTTACTACATGCTCATTTCTACTGTTGCACCACATCATGAAAACAATCAACCCAGAACTCACCTGTCCATATAAATAATCTGAGGAAATTCAAGCTTATTATGAATTTTTTCTGGCTGCCCAAGGGACTGATTGAACTCGAATCTTGAGAGCTCAAAGGTCAACACTGGAGGTAGCTTGGTAAACCAACGCTTTGTCCAGGGTAGAAATGTGGGGAAAAAGAAATTAACTTTAGGAAATACCAACAGCCACATTTAAAACATCCCTCATTAAAAATTTATTGTTTCTCATTAAAAAAACCTGTTCCTGTATGAAATTTATATTCAAGTCAAATATCCCAATAAAAAAATAAAGTGAAATCATGCTCTTTTAGAAAATATGAGTAAACATTTTTCAAGACTCCAAATTTACTAGCTAGCCAATAAATAGCATTTTATTCACTCATCATCCTTAGCACTAATCATTTTTGAACATGTGAACTGACCCAGTATCTATGCCACTCATTTGTTAAATGAGTCATCAGTATTAAGAGAGATTCAAACCCTGAAGAAAATAGCTTAACTAAAGAATTGGGAATTATGATTTAAACAGCATATAACTAAGAAGAAACTGTCTCCAGGAATCATCTAAAAGGACTAACACTATATATATAATACACACTATTTACATACACACCATTGACCATAACTTGAATCTCCTTTATGTCTAAAAAAGGAAACTTGAAATAGCTTCATGATTTCATCATTCAAGTTTCTGAGAAAAAAATCTCTGCGTTCCAATAAACAGATGCATCATAAAGGACTCCAGTCCTACTACTAGTTTCAAGGAAAGAAAACACTGACTTACAAAGATTTCAACTGTCACTGATCCTAGGTGAGGAAAGGCTACAACAATAATGGCATTTCTGTTCAATTCATCTATATGCCAGAGGTTCCTACGAACCCTTTTCCAAAGGTACAAACAGTTCTGTTGGATGCCCTGTTGAGACAAGGTGAGTCCAGGCAGTTTGCTTGTCTCAGGGCTAAATCTAAACAAACATGCATAATGACTTGTTTTGTTTTGTTTTTTAATTTTTACAGAGTTCCCATCCTTGAATACTGAGGTCTGAGTAGCTAGTGACTTTTCCTTCTCTTTCATAAGAAAATGCAGTAAGTTTGCACAGATCCTATGTCTCCCATCAGAAATTAGTTCTTTCCTTGAAAAGCTGGGGAGGTAGCAGCTTTCACCAAGTTCCAAAACTTTCTACAAGCCTCATTTTAGGCTATTTTAATTCAAGAAAGCTCTTTTTTTCTCTTGTATTAATTGCTGTGGACCACAAAGGCCCCGATTTGCTTCAAAATGTATAGTGAAAGGAGAACAAACAAGCCAAACTTTGTAATGTTGACAAGTATGCTACAAACACTACTCACTATTTCTTATCCAGCTCGAATTCTGAGATACTAATTACCCTTGCTCTCCCTTTAACTTCCTCCCTTTCCAACCCACTAAAACAATAACAAAAATCCCACATAAATAAAAATTAAATTTAAAAAACTGTAAAAGCAAAGGCAGAATTTACAATTGAGAACAATAAATAGTGTAATAGGGAAAACATTCTAAATGGCATACCATAGGAGTTAATCACTGTACTTTTACCCTCCGAAAATATGGAGGCAGTGGGTTCTCCCTACTCAGGTACAGGTAGGCTTCAACAGAAAGAGAGAAACTTGATCATACTTAAAACATCAGAAGCAGCATACAACCTTCACATGATTAACTCAAATTCATAGTTTCAGTAAAGAATTTATTTTTCAAAGCACTAAGATTCAATGACTCGTGTGAACTGATAAGAGACTTAAGACAAATTAATTTGTATTCAGCATTAAGTTACCTAACATGACGGGAAGTTAGTTTGCCTGAAAGTTCTACTTAATTGGCTTTGTCACTGGCATAGCAAGTAAAATTATCCACCTTACCTCTTGTCCATACTTCACTGAATGATCAGAAGGAAGAAGCTCAATGTCACCCTCCACCATGGCCCCTTCCAAACATTCGTCTAAGTTGCGATAACCGTTTACCTGGAGGGGATACTGGCCAAAGGTCTCGTTGTTACAAAAGGGCTTTCCTGGGCAAAGAGAGAGATTGATTTTCAAAGGCATCACTACAGCTATAGAAAGCCTACTTTCTGGCTCCCCACAGACAACATCTTAAATTCAGCTATATCCTGAGACCTGGGCAGAAATGCACGCAAGCCTGAATGGCACCCTCTAACACGCCAGTGGACCCAGGCATGGACCATTCACAACTGCAGACTCTGCAAACAAAGACGCCAGACATTATGTACCTCCTGGTCAGTCAAAGACTTTCTGGCCCCCAGTGCACTCGTCTTGCCTTACCGAATGGGGTCAAACATCCAGATACGCCACCAACTTACAAAGAGTGGAGAAAACTATGCTAAAATACATTAAATATGTTTCACGGGAACACAAGCAGCAAAATTCAGACTCTGGGAAATATTACAAATCAACCAGTTTCTCCAAAAAATGTATTTCAAGGAAAAATAGGTACAGGTAGAGCTTACAGATACTGAAGAGCCTTAAAAGATATATCAACCAATCATAAATGAATCACATTTGAATCTTGATTAAAACAAATTTTTTTTAATCAAACAAATCAGGATATTTGATTCCTGCCAGATTTCTGATATTTCCAAATGCCATATTTTGGAGTAGTAGTGCTACATTGTTTTTAAAAGGTTATTAGGCTGGACGTGGTGGCACAGGCCTGTAATACCAGCGCTTTTGAGGTTGAGGCAGGAGGACTGCTGCAAGTTCGAGGCCAGATTCTACTACATAGTGAGTTCAAGGCCAGCTCGAACTACACAGCAAGACCCTGTCTCCAAAACAAAAAAGAAAAGAAAAAGATTATTAGAGCCTGGGAGTATAGCTCAGTGACACAGCACATGCTTAGCAAGCACAAGGTTCTAGGTTCAAACTCCAATACCAAAAATAAATAAATAAATAATAAATTTTATAACTAAATTTTTTTAAAAAATTGCAGTAAGAACAGGACTTAGAATGGAAATTACTAGCTGTGAGGTGATGGTTGCTCGGTTCGTGCCCTCACCCCTAGTACTGGGAATTGAATCTAGGACTTTGTGCATGCTAGACAAGTGCTCTACCACTGAGCTACCTTCCCAGCCCTTTAAAAAAAATTATTCTGAGACAAGGTCTACATTGTCCAGGTTGGTGGCCTCCAACTTGCAATCTTCCTGCCTCAGCCTCCTAAGTAGCTGAGATTATAGATGTGTGCTACAATGCTGGGCTTCATGAGGGTTTTAATAATCATTCTATTTGTGCATATTAAAAATTCTCTGTAGTTAAAATAAGTGTGTCCATCATGCAGCTTAGAGTAGACAAGCAATTCTGGCACAATAAAATCTTTTGAAATTAGATATTACATCAGAAAAGCTACATAGAGAAAACTGAATAACATCACTGTGTATCTAACAATGCTAGAATTGGGTTGTGCAAATATTACACGATCTAACAACTCTGAAACAAAGATTGTACCCATTTTACAGATGAGAGAGACTGGGGACCCAGCAGCTCACAGTTTGTCCACAATAACACAGATACTAAAAGAACCAATACACAGACCTAGGTCTGTCTGACTCTCAAGTCTATTCATTATACTGTTCCCCAAAAGGACACAGTAAGAAGTGTATGATTGCAGGCTAAGAATTAGGGGCACAGAATTTACCTTCACGAATCCCTTCAGTTAAGAAAGTACCGTAGAATAGCTGCACCATGGGATTTTCGGATTTGTTCCTGGGATTGCTGCTTTTAAAAAAGGGAGACACTTCTGTTTCATTTGGATCAAATATGTGGTACACAAAGCCCAAGCATCACTTAAAAACAAAAGTAATTCATTTTCATCAATCACAAAGAGCAGGTATAGTCTAAAGTAAGGGATTAGTTCCACTTACTGAACAAATATAAAGTTAATAGGGTCTTTTCAGCAAAACAGCTGCAAGTTTAGGGGATCATCTACATCCGTAAAGAGGGAAAGCCAAACACAGTGAAGACTAACTCATGGTTACCCCATTAAGTTTGATAAGAATCAGTAATTTCTACTTGAGAAGGGGGACCTTTCCCTATATTGTAATTCCCAGAGCCACTGGGAATTAGAAGGATGTATAAACCAACCCTCAACACTCACTTAACATTGACAGCTAGCTGGAATGCATCCTCTAGCCAATCCAGGAGCTTGTGTGTGAATTCACTCACATCTTGCTATAAGAGAGGCACAAATTGCATAAGAGTCATTTGAAACACTATACACAGGGAAATTAAAGTTTGCCCTTAATCCCACCAATGACTGAGCTCTACTACTATGAAAGCACTTCTTTTTTAGGGCCAAATATCACAGATACAAAATAATGGAACCTAGCTTCTAGAGACAAAACACAAAGTGTGTTAGGTACTTCTAAGTTCTGCCTAGAAGAAACTGAAACTTTACCACTTTCACTCACAACTGTCTGGCTGAAAAACCAAACACAATCTTCCAATTAATTTTTTAAAAGTTCAAAGAACAGACCGTAGTCTTCTAGAGCAATGTGAGATTTGAATGGAGAAAGGAAACTCTTGAAGAAGCTGATCCAATTGTGACAACTTTAATTTTTAGGTGGAGGTAGGGAAAGGCAAGTATTAATGTCAAAAAGAGAAAAAGTGCTCAGAAAAGCTGCTGGACTCAGATTTAGTTGGTTTTACAGAAATGCAAATTTTTTTAAAATGTGGTACTGCGGATCAAACCCAAGGACTCACTCATGCTAGGCAAGTAATCTACCACCAAACTATACCCTCGATCAGTGGTGGCAAACCTAGGGTATGCATACCGCAGCAGGCTGTTTGTACTACTGAAAGTTCTAAAAGGTTCGCCATCACTGCTCTAGCCAGTTTTAAAAGTAAGATTTCTACCTGGGTCATCCCAAAACAAAGGAACAAAGGACTTGACTTTTCTTGGCAACCCTTTGACATGGCTCACTGAGGTATTTTCTAAGCTCTTCCTTTCTGTTTCAATAGCCTCTGTGTAAGTCTACTGTTCTTTCTACTACCATTTCTTCTTCCCTTCTGGACCATCAGCCCTCTGCATAACACTCTTTTCTTACACATGCTTGCTCTCTTACCACCTGCTTTGTAAGTAAAATAAAGGGCAAAAACAGGCACCTACAGTCCTGCTTAGTCACGTTCACAGCTTGTTAGCTGAATAAGCAACATCACAGTAACATGAATATCACAGTAACATGAATAAGGTATGACTCCAAACTTGAGAGTACCTGCTGTTCCTCAGATGATCGGAATGCTCCCTTTAATAGATCCAGGGCTGCAGAAGGGTCTACAAATTTTCGATTCGATCCCATCATAAGAGCAAACAAATACTGAAGCTCCTGCATAAACACGATATTTCTCTTTTCCTACAGAAAGCACATTCATGTGTACTCATATAACGTCTTATTTGGAAGATCAACATATAAAGAGAGAAGCTGTCAATCTCTAATTCATTTTTACCTAGTCTAAGTCAGAGTCACGCCTCAAAGCACATCATGGAGACCCAGATAAGGACAGAGGATTACTCTAAACTCAAAAATAACTACTCAGAAGTCGAAGAGAAATACTGTTGCAAAGACTGAAACATCTTGAAGCTGAGCCCCTTCTTTTGTTAGGAGACCGCATTACAGTAATGTAAAATCCAAGGAAGGGTGAGATCACAGGGAGGGAGCTGCCTCCTGCAGCAGGTGCAGACTGGAATCTCTTCTGAGATCTAGGTGTACCAGGTCATCTATTCTGCATCCTTGGCCTGAGCAGCCAATGCAGAGGAAAGGATAACATGCACACAGGGACACACAGGTGTTCTGAGTGTCCCCACCCAGGGCAGCACTGCTGAAGTAGGCAGGCTGGCTAACTACATTCTTAGAACTGTTTTTCTAATTTTATACTTACTTAAAATTTTATTTTTTGCAGCCAGAGATGCAGCTCAGTGGCACCATGCCTGTATTGCAAGCACAAGGTTCTGAGTTTGATCCTCAGTACCAAAAAAAAAAAATTTTTTTGCAAGCCTTTAATTTTGTCACAAAGAAGGAAAAAGAGCCATTTAGAAATGAAAACAAAAGAGCTGTGGATGTAGCTCAATGGTAGAGCACTTACCTAACATGCACAAAGCCCTCGATTGGGTAACCAGCATTGCAAAAACAAAAAGAGAAGTGAAAACAAATGTTAGCACAAGCCGAAGTTTTCACCTTTAGTCAAAAATTTAATGCTGGGTATGGTGGTGTATGCCTGTAATCCCAGCACTCAGAAGGCTCAGGCAGGATCACCATGAGTTCAAGGCCAGCCTGGACTACATAGCAAAATCCTGTCTCAAAAAAAAAAAAAAAAATTAGGAGGCTCAACCAGGCCTGGTGGTGCAGGCCTGTCATCCTTTCTAGGCAAAAAGGTCAAAAGTTTGAGTCCAGCCTGGGGAACAATGAGTGACTTAGCAAGACTCTGTCTCAAATTTTAAAATAGAAAAGGGTTTGCAGGGTGGCCCAGAAAAAGGCCCTTGGTTCAATTTGCAGTTTAAAAAATAAAAATTAAAGAGGCTTTGGGATGAAAGAAATTAAGTGATAGGGAAGAAACGTCTAAGCACCAACTTACCGTGTGACTTTGACAATTTTCAAGTATATTTTGTGGCAGACTATAGCTGAGAACAAGTCTTCGAAACTCAGGCAACTGAAAAAGAGACTAAAAGAAAGAAATGAACTTATCTTTTCTTTCAATATAACTTCAGAAAAAAAATTTCTTTCACTGTATTTTCATTTGTATTTAAAAGCATGTGTAACTGTCAACTTAATGATTCTACTATTATTTCCAAGGAAATAATACCAGTTACACAAAAATTAACAAAACTGTTAACCCTTTAGGTAAAACAATAGAAACAAACTTAAGGCCTTAGAAGATGAATAAATTATACTGCATTTACACAATGAGTAATCATGTAGTCGTTTGAGGCCAGCCTAGGTTACATAGTGAGTTCAGGACCAGCCTAAACAACAAAGCAAGGCCATGTCTCAAAAATACATAAATGAATGAATAAATGAATAAATAAAACAGTACTATACCACGGTAAGACTGAATTAACAAAAACTATGTTATCAATATGGATAAATCTCAGAAATATACTGTTTAAAAAAGGGTTACACAAAACCACTTTCTACATACTGCCAGTTCTGACTTCTAAGAGTTTGTTTTGTTAAACAAATTTCTATTTATGTTCATACTTTTTTCTTCTATTATCTGTAACCAGTTTTAGGATTAGCACAATGTTGAGTTCCTAAAATGAGGGGAGAAGTGTTCCTTCTTTTTTCTGCTTTAATTGTTTGATATAATTTATC